TAAAATTATATCCTACTGGGCCTTTCGCTCACATTTTCTTGTTTTCAAATGTATTAAACCCCTCCAGGAGACGCGAGGAGTAGTGCGGAGTAGGTAGCTACTACCGGTGATGTGGACTTGACCTCGGAAAGAGAAGAGTTGTTTTTCCTCTTATCTTTTATTTTAAGGCATGTATAAAAGATTATGGATTGTAAACTTAAATATTACTAGACTGTGGTTGATGTCACACTTACTTTTGTTCATATTCATGTATGCTAAACACCTGTGGGAATTCATGACATGATACCAGGGACGTGGTTTTAAACTGGTTTGGTTGGAAATTCCACCACCCTTCTTGAAATTGAATTTCTCCCGAATGAAAAGGGGCTCGTTTGGAAATACCTGGATGTTTTAGATTTAAAAGAAATTAAAATATTTGCTAATCACTCTCTCAAACAGGTTTAAGTTTCTAAACGAGCCTCCACGTCACTAACCCTGGTTTGGGGGCGTGACACCATCGTGAGTCGCCAGTATCTCCTCCATGCACTGTTGCCCACCATTGACACCATCGAATTCATAGATCCCCAAACTACAAAATCAGTGACTACTGTTGTTAAATATTGCTGAAATGACACAATGGTCAAGAGAAAAAAAACAAACATATTGAGTGCGTTTGAAATTATTTTCGAAAACGTTTCCGCATGTTGTTTAAGGCACAAAAATGAAAATGATATACAAATCGCGTTTGTATAATAAAAATTTTGAATTTGGAAACGAAAACAAAAACAATTAGAATGATTTTTGTGAAGAAAGTAGAAAACGATTGAAAGTTATTTTTCATTTTCTATTTTCATTTTATAGCACTTATCAACAAAGTTTTATTAAATAATTAATTATTAATTACTAATTATATTATACATTAATTAATAATTAATTAATAAATACACTTAATAACTAATAAATTCAATAAAACAAGTAATAATAGGTTGTTAAATAAATACTTAATAATTAATATATCAATCATATATTATGTTAATTATAATTGATTAATTAGTAAATAGTTGGTAAATAAAAAATAAATAGTAATTACTCAATTAATAATTAATATTAAATTATAATTATCAATATGCAATATACTAATAAATAATAAATAATAAATAATAATTAGTAATTAATCATTATAAAAAGAATAAGTACCAAAAATTTATCATGTGATACATCAAATAATAGATTATTAAATAAACATCAGTAATTAATTAACCAATTATTTAATTATGTAACTAAAATTTAATAGTTTAATTATTAAATGGAATATTAATAAATTATGTATGTACTAATTATTTTTATTAATACACTAATTAATTATTTATAATCTAATAAATATGAGTACATACTAACATAGTAATTATTTATAATTAATTACTAATTACTATTTTTTAATTATTTAGCATATTCATTTATTATATATATAGTTTAAATACTAATGTACTCATTAATGATAATTATCCATTATTATTACATTATTAATATATTAATTTCTATTTGTTAAATAATTATCAATTATTAATTACTTAATATATTAATTTAAAATTATTAATTACATGTACCCAAAACAAATATAAATGTAACTAAACATGATTTCACTTTTTTTATCATACTTAAACCAATCTCTTGAAAGACCACCAAACGTAATTTCAGAATTGGTTTCAGAATGATTTTTAAAACAATCTCATTTTCATTTTTTACCGAAAATAAAACCATTTTAAAAACATTACCAAACGGGCCCATCATATTTGCTAAAATATTGAACCTCAAGTGGTTTGATTGAACTACTTAAGGCTCGTTTGTTTCATGTGTTTAAACTCATAGTTTTGATTTTGTTACAGTGTTTTCTTCTCACAAAAAATTTGAATTTCTATTGCAAAAATCAAGAACCACTGGTTTAAATGCATGAACTAAATGGGCCCTTAGAGGTTATATTAATCGAATCAAAATGAACTCCCAAGTGGTTGGATGCAAGGTACTTTAGAAAAAAGCTAAATATGAGTTTGGGTCACTTGGTAAATTTCAAAAGTTCAGTGCCATTTTGTAATTTTTAAAAGTTTAGAGACAAAAATAATAATTTTGAAAATTATGACATGTCTCTTTCCCCTTAAATTAGGAAATAAAGTTATTCCCTTTTTTTATTCATTTCACTAATAGCCTTAAACCAAATAAAAAAGATAAAACTTATTTAAAATTTTGATTGTGGTAGGTATCCATCTCCCAAGAGTGATATAATAGAAGATCCGGGCCTTATCGAGCCTTGATAGTGAAAGATGATGACTCTATTAGGCGAAAAATATCAAATTTGGATAAATTTAGAACTTTGAAGTCTATTTTCCAAGATACATTTTCACCAAAGTAGTAAAAAGTGAAAACCCTAGCACTGAGCCTGACCCTATTAATTCATTTCTCCCCTTTTCTTTTTTCGTTCGCAGCCGCCGCCGCCACCACCTCTACCTCTCTCCTAGTTTCCTTTAATTTCATTTCCATGTTTCTTTTGTTAGCATAAACAGAGAACTAGCTCATATCACTCGTGTTATTTTGATTTTCCCAAACAAGGGAGCGAAAATAGAGAATATTGTCCCCTTGCTCTTTGAAGAAGGGAAGCTACATTACAAAGGCTAGGTTGTGTTCATTGTCTCTGATTTTCGTACGAAATAATCAAATGAATTTAGGAATGAATTGGAAAATTGCACCAACCTACACAGCTTGCAACAATTGCTAGGTTTTTCGTTTCATTTGGATTTTGGTTCTCTATTAGTTGGTCAAGGTGGAAGGTTGGTGTTAAATTATGCAATGCAAGTTTCTCATCATCATCGTCGTTGTTGTTTAGAAGAGGCAAGGTTGTTCTTGCAAAAACTTGTCTTATCTAATTTTTTTATGATACAATTATGATATGATCTAACGGTTAAAAAAGTATAACATTATTTATGTGTTTTTTCATATCTTTGTCTCTAACATAATGGTTATTGCCTTATAGGTACTTCAGAGACTAGGCATCTACCTAAATTCCATCTTGTTTTTAGTTTCTTCTATGGTAGGAAAAATCTTTAATGAAGTGCATGTTTGTGATTATCAATCGTATTTTACAATATATTCATATTGTAAGTTTCTCTACTAGGCCAGTAGCTCAGCCCTACTGATAATGTCAGTTTTTAACCGTTGAATTAGGTTAAAATCTTATCAAATTGAAAAAATATGCAGAATAGACAATTTTTGATACATTTCTGATGGTTGAAAATAAAGAATTACCGATAGTTTATTTAATGCGATCCCACCATAGAAGCTCTCATAATAGTATGCACACTTCTGACAAAGATTTCGTAGTTCAAAAACATTCTATTGGTAAAATGTTCTTTTTAATATCGTAAGACAGAATTCACTTTAAGAAATGTTTATGGTTCATATACTGTTTTCCCAAAAGAACCGGTATGCTTAATTAAAAGGCAGTCATTATTGTAAACTTAGTTATATTTATGATAGGCATATATTATTAAGTTAGTGGTACTAGTGATAATTTAAAGAGGCTCGAACATGGTCTTACCATGAAATTAATTAGTCAGAAATACTTTCCAGTTTCCGCACATTTTTAGGTGCCATGTATTTTGAATTAAAAGTTTCACATTTAGTACTTTATAATGAGTTACATCTCTTCGTGTGCGTGTGTGGATGGGATTTTAAATTTTCTTTGGCCCTGTTGGGCAATTTCTTTAGCTGTGGAGGGAGGTTTCACTTACGTAATTTTTGAAGGCAATGCGAAAAGTGGTTCTCAACTCTCTGAATGATGATTTGGCTTTACATTGGGTGTGAAAATCGTGTTTGAGACTTTGATTTTGGTTCGAGATTTTCAATCCTGCATGTTTGCTTGGACCGCGGAAGACAAGTAATGTTCTGCACCCTCGGTCGGGATCGTCCTGCGGGCTCCATCTTCCCTTGATGTGCAAGTCTCTTGGGAGTGTTTACCAATTAGAAATTAATGTAACGGGAAAAAAAAAGTTGTCATTGCTAAAACCGCACAAGGAATGTTGGTTACTGGTGTTTTTATTTTTATTTTTTTTTCAAAAAGAAGGAATTTAACATAAGTGCAAATTCTTGTCAACTATAATAATATCTTTATTCCAAATTATTAATTTACTAGTTATGACTTGTGACAAAAAAAAATAATAATAATAGAAAATGGTCTTCCTACGACCTCATGCCAAAGTTTTTCCATAGAGAATCAAGTGCCAATGCCATGCGTTACATTTGCTTCCTTTTTTGCCTTTGGGGTGCCATAATCTTGCATTAAATGAGAAAATCTCAACAAAAATTAATAAATATTTATGAGGGTTGTGAGAATTTAAGCCCCTTAATGACTTGGTATTAAGAAACCGAAATTCATTAGAAATGATAATATTCTCTTAAGAAAAGTGAGAGCAAACTAAGTAGGTTCTTAATTATAAAAACAAAAAAAAAATTAAATTTTTTAAAATACGAAGCCAAACTAAGTAAGCTGTTAGATATAAGAAAAATAAAAGTAAATGAATTTATTGATGCTTTTCATAATATGAAAAAATTTTCCTTTAGTTCCGAAGCCCACATGGCATAAAGATTAGTTAGTGTAATTTCCTCACTGTTTATGGCTCGGAAAAACAGTGTGCCTTGTAATACCAGGGTCAACTACTGTTACCTTAAAGAAAACAAGAGGAAAAAAAAAAAAAAAAACCGGAATGAAAAATGGCTGACCTTGTTCACTCTGATGAAAGTCACCCCTCAGAGTCACTGCCATTGGGCAACCAGTTGACACGTGTAGTTCAGCTACTGGACAGATGGTGAGCCCCACAAACAAGAGAGAAAAAACAAATTCTATTTTGCTCTTCTTTTTATTTTTTATACTTATTTTAACTTGTTCTTTATATGGTGTCTCCGAAGCTCATGCAAAGTGTAAGCCAAACACTCGAATATCACTTTTTTTTCCCTTCCATTTCAGACCCGTTTCACTCACTCACTCACTCTCTCTCCTTCTCTCTCTCTCTCTCTCTAAAGCTTTTGTTTTTCTCATCCTCCTGAGTTTGTTCTTTTCCATTTCGGAGCTAAGCTTTCACTCACTAAAATATATACCTTCTCTGAATTCAGAACTTCAGGCTCACTGCTGTTTGCCTGCCCCTTCTCTTCCTTCTTGTTTTTGTGCTCTCATTGTTGCTGTTGTTTTTGTTGTCATCATGGAAATGGACCAAATGCTGAAAGAATTTTCCGTAACGAACACGAAGGTCCCTAGCTTTGCACGAGGCCTCGAAATCCTTCTTGTCGATGAGGACGTGCTATCCCTTTTTTATATTTCATCAATGCTTGAAGAGTACTCCTTCAAGGGTAAATTTATTTATAACCATCAAAAGAGTCGATTGAGTATTATGTTTCGTTTTGTTTTCTCTCTCTGCATTCACTAGTGTCGCTTTTGATGCTTTTGAAAGGCAATAATAAGCGACACTAACATGGATTTCCTACATAGTCTACAGATATCTCAATTATCTGCTTGTTATGATTTCGTCATATGCCTAGTGTTTGTATATCAACAATTTTAAGGTCTTCATATGAGATTTGTGCACTTGCAAAGTTCATGCTTCTGTTTTGTTTTTTGTTTTTTTCAATATTTATGTGCATGCTATAGAAGCATGACAGATTTCTTTTGTTTATTTCCTGTTCCTCCTCGAATTCATCATAGATATTTGGATAAAATTTAATAAGAAGATTGATTGAGAATCCATGGAAGAAGTTTGAAAAATATAAGAGTTAATTTAACGTAGAAAATGTTCGGAATGCAACTAGAATTGTAAAAGGAGACATCCTTTCGAATATGAGAGTATTTTCTTTTTTATTCCAAGCAACGTAAACCACAGATTTTCTACAACTTAACCGATAAAATGTTCAGTGATATTGTAGCCCTAGTTCCATTTTAATTCTTCTCTTGTAATCATCATCCTAACTTTGAATTGCAGGCTCGAAAGGTAAGATTCATGGTTGACGATCTTCTTTTTATGTTCTAGAAGCATATTTGTTTTCATTTATTTCTATCACAAGTTCTTCAATAATCTTATATATTTTTCTACTCTTGTTTTGATTATATTGCATATCCAAATTTTATGGAAAGATAAAACTCGGCTTCAAAATCAACTGCATAAACAGAAAGAAAGTCTACGTCAATCATGAGATATCGAATTAAATGCTATCATAATTTTACGTATTTACGACTAATCTATGCTGTTTTACAGTAAATATTGCATGCTTTTCCTCTAGAATCAGCAGTGCTAGTTTAGCAACATTACTCCAGAAATAGCTTAAATATTTTCTATTATTGTTTATTCATGGGTTTATTATGTTGTCTAACATCATTGAATTTCATAACTAAACTGTTCATAGAAAATCAATAAACCAGGATATTCTACGTCGAGCTTGCGAAAACTGGTTTATTATACATTCTTTATTATACAAGATTTAAGAATATTTGTCTCTATATTTGTCCTCAAGAACTTTGTCAATATCAAGTCTAACGTCTGTTTGTGGTTTTTTGTTTTCAGTTACTACAGTTGAACAAACTTCTGTTGCTTTGTCAATGATTCGGGAGCAAAAGAACAAATTTAGACTAGTAATGGCAAACGTAAACATGCCAGACATGGACAATCTTTCTTTTCTGCATGAAATAAAGAGCGAGATTCCTGTCATATGTAAGACGCTCTAACCTACTTCAATTCGGCTTAATTATTTTAGGAAAATTCTTTTAATGATTCTTTGTAACTTGATCACGAAGCAGTGATGTCATCCGACTCAAGCGTAGCCAGCAAAGCCCTAGTTGAAGGAGCAAGCTTATTCCTACGGAAACCAGTGACTTTGAAGGATCTGAAACCCGTGTGGCAACACGTGGACTGGAACCCACAAAACCGGAAGAAAGAAAGTCATCAAGAAAATAGTGAAGAAAAAGGCGGTACTAGAAAGGAATTGCGAGGTAGTAAGATCAATGAACCTAGTACCTTGTCTAGATCACTCGCCGAAGGTAATATAATCAAAGAGGCTACTGGTAGGCCTCCTTCCAAAGGTAAAATAATCAAAGAGGCTGGAAATGAGGCTTGGCCTTCCACAAATCTTCTGAAGCCCATAGAGACGGGGTCTTTTTCTATCCCTATCATTGGATGTGAATTTCATGGAAATTTGTTTACTAATCCATTAAGTCAGAGGATGCAAAGCAAAGGAAAAATAACTATCATTATCGATGATGAGAACAACGGTTTGCAGAATATTGAAGCAAGCAATAAACAAGAAGGATCCAATTTAAAGAGACAACTCAGCGAAAAAGAAGGAAAAAAACAGGAGAAGAAAACGAAAACCAACTTGGAGATTGTTAATTCTGGAAGCTCGGAAATTAATGGAAAAGGGAAGAAAAAGGTCTGTGGTGAGAATAATAACTCCAACAAGAAAGCGTGGCGTTCTGTTTGGGATCCAGAGTTGCATCACAAGTTTACAGAAGCTATCAATGCACTAGGAGATGAAAGTAATTTTCCATTTTCTGAAAAGAATTTACTACATTTAAATCATTCCCTCTTTTCCTCTATTATTTGGTTAGAAATTTATGTTTCATCCCTAGAAGTTACTAATGCCAGCCATTTCTTGTATGCTATTTTGATCCAGATGCAAACCCTAGAGTGATTAAAGAGAAAATGAACGTTCCGGGCATAACAAGATGCCAGATTGCTAGTCATTTTCAGGTTTTCTCCTATCAGGCTAACTTATAGAATTAAGAATTAAGAAACCTTTTCATCATTTATGCCTTAAATGTTGTGTCCATAGGAGTTTATATGATCACTTGATCAAGCCCGCATTTTATGGATTTCATCAAATGCTATGGCATATACTTTTTTTCTTTTTGACAATCACTACTTTTATGGAATAGACATAAATGAGCAAACACATTAGGACAAAATGCATGAGCCAGAACATTTGTTATTCTTTGGCTTTAATTAATCCTGATGAAACAATTTACTCATAGGTTTTTTTGTGGAAACACTCTCTTACAACCTCTTTCTGACTGGTTGAAGTCATGATTAGCGTTTAGGTTTGAACCTTTTAGACTGTCAAGAAAAAAAGTGTAGTAAGTAATTTATGAGATTCTTTAGTGATTCCAAATCAAATATGTAATGCAATAAATGTTTGTCGAGGTCATTATTGAATATTTTGTTTTCTTTTCTTTAGTTTTCTGTGCCTTAATTTTTTAAGTTTCTGGTATTAGTGGCAGCAACATATGATATTTTGGTTATCCCTTCTATGTATTCTTTGGCCTAAGATCTCAAAAAATCTTCCTTTCAGAAGTATAAAGCTGATATAAAGAAAAATAATGAGACTGGAACAAGAAGTTTACCTTCCATGAGTCAACCATTGTGTTCCCATGCCATGACCGCTTTTGCACCAACAGTCGAGATGCAGAATCCACTAATTTCCGAGCATGGACAAGAAAACTTGAATTTTGGCGTCGCTGGCACTCAGTCAACTATTCCAAAACCGCCGACACAACCTGAAGGAAATGTAGAACCTTTTTAACAAGCATGCATTATTCTGTTTATAGCATAAAGATAAACGCACAGCACATTCACACACTGCACTCATAAGTCTATTTGTAATTACTTGGTGTTGATTAATCTTGAAAATACAAAATACTCCTAGGTTTTCTGTGAAAACACTCTTCTCAGCAACCTTCTAGTTGGTTAAGTGATCTGTTATTAGCATTTTGCTTTGATGTTTTTACACCGTCAAGAAGAAAAATGCATCGTGTAATTTCGGAGACGAGATTAGTTATTTGTTGCATATGTTTACTTGTAAATTAAGGTCATTTACTACATATTTTATTTATCTTCATGATTTAAATTTCTTGCTTTTGTTTGGGAGCTGATTATATCTAATATATTAGATTATGCTTTCTTTGTATTCTTTTGGTCTAATATCTCTAAACACCTTCCTTTCAGATCTATAGAGCTGAATTACTGCGAATTAATAAGGCGAGGACAACAAATTTACCTTCCTTAATTCAACCATACTGTAAACATGCCAGAACTGCGTTACCGTCTCCAATTGAGAGGCAAAGTTCACTAATTTCCCAGCATGGACAACGAAACTTCAACTTTGGAGTCACGGGCAATAAGCAGTCAACTATTCCAGAGCAGGTAACTCATCCTGAAGTAAATGTAAAAAAATTGTGTACCTTTTAACAATCATATGTTATTATGTTTATAGCGTGAACATAAATGAGCAGCGTATTCACACACAGAATTCATAAGCAAGTTGATTTGTTATTAACTTGTTACTTTGTGTTGAGTAATCTTGAAGTAACAATTTATTCGTCGGTTTTCTGTGGAAAGTGAAAATACTCTTTTCTGAAACCTCGTTTGAATTGGGTGAATGAGTAATCTGTGATTATCACTTTGCATTGGATTATTTAGATTGTCAAGAAAAAAGATGTGTCATATAATATAGAAGATATTTTTAATCGTGAAAAAAAAAGTTATTTATGGCTATGCATACATGCAAATTAAGGTCATTGTTTCTTACTTTGTATTATTTTGGTCTAATGTCTCTAAACATCTTTCATTCAGGAACGTAGATGTGAAGTACAGCGAATCAATGAGACTGGAACAAGTTTACCTTTCATAGGCCAATCGTCCTGTTCCAATGCCAGAACTTCATTTTCACCTCCACTTGCCAGGCAGAGTTCACTGATTTCCAAGCATGGACAAGGAAGCATCAATTCTGAGGTTGAGGGCAATATACGGTCAACTGTTCAAAAATCTCTCACTCAACCTAAAGTAAATGTAGGCAGTTTTGTCAGTCATGGCCAGAGAGCACCTCACCTATATATCGGACAAATGGGCTCGTCTTGCAATTCAAATTTATATCACAACTATAACCCCAATAAGGTGCACATCGAAACTCATGGAATGCTTCAAAACTTGAACCTGGAAAGGGAAACAAGCAGTTATGGCGTGAATGAAAAAGGGAAGGGAAAACAACCTCTTGGATTAGAAGAAAGCACTAATCAAACAGCTAAAATGAACTTACCAAATGCGATTTTTGAGCCTCCAACGGTGCCTTCTCCCTTCATGTCAACCAGTATTCAAGTTTCTGCATTGAACCTACCAAATTCAAGCCATGCACATCCAACGGCTCCTTCTCCCTACATGTCAGCTGGAACTCAAGTATCTGAAATGAACTTACAAAATTCGAGTTACACACCTCCAAGGGCGCCTGCTCCCCACGTGGTAGACATTACTCAAGTGTCTGAAGTGAACTTACCAAATTCGAGTTACATGCCTCCCTACGTGGCAGTCAATATGCAAGTATCTGAAATGAACTTACCAAATTCGAGTTACACACCTGCAAGGGCACCTTCTCCCTACATGGAAGCTGGCACTCATGGATCTGAAATGAAGTTGACAAATTCAAGTTATGCAGCGTCTCCCTATGTGGAAAACGGTACTCAAGTATCTCAAATGAACTTACCAAATTCAGGTTATGCATCTCCGGAAGTCCCTCATCCCTATGTCTCAACTGGTACTCAAGTATCAGAAATGAGCCTATCAAGTTCAAGTTACGCACCTCCAAGGGAGACTTTTCCATATGTTTCAGCCGGTACATTCCAGTATCCAAACTCAGTTCCGTACTTGAATGAAAATCAAGATTTGGCCTCTGCCTACAATTCAAAGCACCAGAACCAGTTGTCAGTGGGGGCTACAGGGACAGAAGTGCTCAATTCTGTGTCACCGACAATGATTTCGGTGGGAGTTTCAGGGACAACTGAAGTACTCAATTCTGCACCAGCAACAATAACTTCAAGCAATGCAACCAATCCACAAGAATTTCAAACAAACATCAGTAATGGAGGCCAAAATTTGGATCCTTTCATGAACCAGGCTCCTGCAGCTGAATCACCAAAACAGAATGAATCCTTTTCAGACTATGAGGACATATTGAGAATTCTGGATGGAGATGCCGCTAACTTCAACGATTTTGCTTATGAACCAAATCTAGATGAGAAAGGCTATAATTGGCTGCAGAAAAATCTGAACGGAAAGGACACAGATCCATACTAGTTGCATGAGCCCAGTCTGGTAACGATTTGCATTGAAAGGTTTGATTCTCATTAAAATATTGATAATTCCTGAAACAGCAAGCCTCATATGTATATCTTACATTATACGCTGTCTACTTTTTATAGCGGTTTTCGAAGAAATTATTTGCAGTTCAATAATATTTACCTTCTGGTTCATTGCAGGCAGCAGACAAAGCGATCAGATCAAGACAGACTGTGAAAATGGAAAGAGATGAATACCTGATTCTGATTTCAATCCAGATTTCATGAGGAATCTCAACAGACATGAAATGCTCTGTTTATGGTTTTTTTTTTTTTCTTTATTTTACTTTAGTGGATGATAACTTTTATGTTTTTATTTACATAACCGTTGAACTTATACAGCTGTGATTTAAGGATTTCTTGTTAAGCAATGGTTGGGCACCATTAAGTTCCCAGTTTTATTTCTGGCAATCTATGATATAATTTTGAGACAGCACACAAGATTTATCTGTCACAAGCATGGATTATTCATATCTGATGTGATTTATTACTAATCATTTCCTACTTGCTAAAAAGATAGAAAATATCTTCCTTAGCATGGAAGGAAGGAATACCCATTTATAGTTTTTAATGGAGGGAGATAAAATAGGTAATTAAGCTGTTTTTTTTTTTTTTTTTTTTTGGTATTTGCTAAGGTAAAAAAGGAATGTACAGACAGACAGATTTAAGCAGATTTACTTGATGAAAAAGTAAATGTAGAAGGAAATTTGGTGGAGAAGAGAGAAAAGGAAAACTGAATTTTCTTGACCTTTTCCTTTAATAAGAGAGATATGTCATTATCTTCCTTCTCTTTATGTTAGGTAAAGGTTTGTACTAAATCTAAAAAGTTGCGAGACAATAACAGCAAGTAAATCTACTGAAGTTTACATACCAGAACCAGGGTGTAGGAATACTTCACTCAAGTTACTTATATGACAAATGATATTTGTAAACTCCTTCACTAGATGAGGAAGTTTAGGTACTTACACGTGAAAGGGTTAAATTAGAGGATCAACAGAGATAAGACCGGGATTTCAGAGAAAATAATTTCTCCCTGATGGCCTCTTTTCCATGATCGCGCTTATGCGATCACCAAGTATACTGTAACAATACCTTATGCAGTATTTCAAGATGACGAAAAATGTATTCAAAACCAATAGACTCAAGAAAAAAGTATTCGAAACCAATAAAACTGGATAAAAGAATCTTCCACTTGTGACCTATGGGAGCCCACAAAGTGAAAGAAGAGGATCTAACCTCAGTCTTTATGTCTTCTTTTCTCTCCTTTTTTCCCCTCTAAATAAGAAAAGGTTATATGGGCAGCAGTTAGTGTCCCCATAACAACAACTTGAAGGGAACTGAACCACCAAGGTGGCACTCGAGAGCCTGCCATTTGGATCGGACTAGAGAAACCTCACCAACCTAGTTCGATTATGTGGTGATTCTCATGATTTACATCGATTTGAAGCTAGAGCTTTGCAGTAGAAACTCTAAAAGCAACCTACTATTAATTTTTACATGTAAAATGTAGAAACTCAGAAGCTTGTATGAAATTCTCGTACTTTTTCATTGTGGCTTTTGACTTTATCACTTTGTTCAAGAACATCACCATATCAGAGTCTCGGAAAAATATATAAATAAAAGCTTGCGCTAGATAATTGGACAAAATTTCCATATTCTATTAATGTCCTTCTAAAATTGGAAATTATTCATATATTCAGAACTTCACGAATCAGTGTTCCTAATAGGACCTCTAAACCAGTACCGAGCTCTCAAGATCCAAGAAGATACAGTAAGAATAAACAAACCACCAACTGCTACAGGGGTATAGTTGAGTGTCTCAATGGTAACTGGGTATGCCCCAGGCAATGAGAAGAGGACTGAGATGATGGCGACCCAAATAACTGCAATCCAACCAACAACTATTCCATACCGGCCTAAGTTAAAAGGTCCCGGGACAAAGGACTTGCTTGCCAAAGTCACCCTAAAGAAGATGGGTAATGCATAAGCAATGTACAGTCCAATTGTTGCTATTGATACCATTGCATTAAATGCGACTATGCTTCCAAGAGACTGCAACCGAAACAAGCACATAATTAGTAGTCTAAAGGGGAGAAAATGAAACTTCACATAAGGATTTCGGTGCATGAGCTCGTCTTGGTGACCACCAAAACTGCCATGACTTAGCAGTTGGGCCTTAGAACAGGTGCATGCCCTCATAACTCAACCAAGTTCAAGTTATACGTTAAAGAATCACATTTAGTTTATCTTAATGGAGGTATCTATCTTTCCATATATATCTCGATTTCCTATTGTGATTTCCTGGTTTCGCTAGCTAGCTTGCGTCTACATTGGAATTTTGGACTTTTACATGCAATACCGAAAATCATAGAAAGTACATATAGAACTTAAATAAAACAAAAAGAAGAAAAAGAAAAGTAGATAAGATCTCATTACCGTCAATGCCATGCAAAATGATATTAAAGCAGAGAGCCAAACTGCATTCATGGGGACTTCCTGCTTGTTAACTTTATGCCAGAGCGATGAAAATGGCATGGCTCCATCTCTAGAGAATGCATAAGCCATCCTGAAAAAAAAAAAAAAAACAAACAAAATAATTAATAAAACATCTGCTAGTGGTTTTTTTTTGTATATATAACTAAATTTCACCTAGTGGTTGACGTCATATAAGAACACATAAAGAACAAATATCTGTACCTGGAGTTGCTAGTAACTGAACTCATGCCACAAAAGAATATGGCAACCGCGACCACTCCCAAGCAAATAATTCCCCCAACTCCACTACCATATCTACGCTGGAATGCTAGGTAAAAAATCTCAGCAATGGCATAACCACCAGCATCATTGTTTTCATCCAAAAGAAATGGGATATTGGTTACAGCAAAAGTGATACCAAGTATGTAACCAAATCCGACAATGATAGATATCCCTATGGAACTAATTATTCCTTTCGGTCCGTTCATATCAGCATTCTTGGTTTCCTCTGTCTAGAAAACAACATTTAAGGGAACCGGAAGAATTAGTTGAGTTGACCACTAAAGGGGAGAAAAAAAAAAACCGAAGGAAACAAGAATTTTTAGTTTCATTCATCCAAGAAGTTCTAACTCAAAATTTACTATAATTTTTGTAAAGCTGTCAATTGCATGAGGCTTGACATACTTTGAATAGACTAGCTTACCTTAGTTAACTGAAAACTATCTATGCACATTCAGGCTTGCATATTTAAATTAGTATATTGGAAAAGTTGTGTAGCATTTGAAATTCCTATAGTTTATGACCTCCTATGAAAATGTCATTATCTAAGTAAGCCTTAGTAAGTCGGAGCTAGAAGAGATTTCCACATTTATCGAAAAGTATATGCGCGACACAATGAGCTTCTTCGAGTAAAAAATGACATATTCAACTTACCATGTGGGCAGATGCATCATACCCAGTTAGGGTATACTGACTCATCAAGAGCCCCAGAACAAAAATGTAAACTTTGTTGCCGATTCCTTCCCCATTATCTGTGTTGAAGTGAGTGAAAACAAAGTTCGCACTCGCTCTTTCCTTTGTGACAGTGGGAATGAGAATCATAAGAACAAAGACACCTATGTATGGGAAAAAATCATTTCAGATGCAAGAAATAAATAGGCTAATTCAATGAATCGGAATAACTTGGCAGAAAAAGGAAATTCTTCATACCAACAACATTCCATGCAGCAGCCAACTGTCCAAAGAAAGATAGCCACGAGATGGGAAGACTGTTTATGATGGCATGTAGAAGCAAAATTCCACCGTGGAAAGCAATAACTAAATACTTTGATGCCTTGTATCCGCCTCCGCTTTTCCCACCTGTGCTGAGGAGAATGATCACTTGGATCAGCTGTGCAAGTGAGAAATCTACACTTGTTGTCACTGCCCACTGCAATTAAACAATAATAACATGTCAGAAGTCGTCGTAGTTTTAAGCACATTATATCATATCATACCCGTATAAAACACTTGATGTCTTAAATTCTCAACAGATATTGAAGAAGTTGAAACTACCGAACGTGCTTCTCAAAAGTCAGAAGTACCTGGCCAACAATGTTAAACCTGCAAGTAATAACAACCGTTTACTCCATATCAGCGAATGTAATTTCAGGAATATGGATTTGGCACGGTGTTTATGGCTATATTTGACAGGCATTTAAAGTAATATTTTTTATTTTTTACGCTCAAGAACAAGGAAACATAAATATAGGAAAACATCATTAATAACAGAAAAAGCATACCCTGGTCTGCAACTGCAAAGAATTAGAGGATTCCAATCTTGTGGTGGTAAAGGGTACAAACATCATAAGTTTTCAGTAAAAGGGTCATTAATGCAAAAAGGTTTGCTGACTGAACTGACAAAATCCCATATCCCTTTTATATTATTTTCAACAATAATATTCATTAGAACTTTACCTAATCATGTTTATACCAGACCCTACACGTCCCTTATCAATCAAGTAAAGCACATATCAAACAATCAACTCTAAACCCGAATTAGCTTAGTAACATTGAAGCACAGTAATTTAAAAACAAAAATGCAAAACAATGCATAATTGAGAAGTGCAAAGAACAAATCAAGAAGAACACTTTGCAGCTTCTGAACCCCAATTAAAAACTGATAATAAGTTCCAAAAGGTACTTAAACAGTAAGTCAAAAGGCGACAAAAAGGAAAAAGGTGTACCCCAAAAAAAAAAAGCTTTAAAACCATTAAAGCTTGTGGGCATCTTTAAAAAAACAAAAAAAAAAAAAACAAAAACAAAAACAAAAAACACCTGAGAAGTGCAAAGAACAAATTTTACAGCTTCTGAACCCCAAATTAACATTCATTATAAGTTCCAAAAGGTACATAAACAGTAAGTCATAAAGTAAAAGAAAAAAGGAAAAAAAATAAGACATTCTCTCTTATGCTAATAGATTAGATTTTTTAACTATTAAATCTCTATAAAATTATGTAAAAATTAAAAAAATAAGAGACGTAACAGATACCGATATATCGGACGTACTAGATAATTTCTAACAAAAACAAAAAAAAAAAGTAAAGAACAAAAAGAAAATAAAGTTGTAAGGCCATTAAAGATTGTGGGCAAAAGGAGGGAAAAAAAAAAAGAAAAAAAGAGAGATTACCAGCCAGTGAGCCAAGAAGCAAAAGGTGCCCACTTGGGGCCAGCAAGCTTGGCACTCCAATAGTAAAGACCACCGGAAGTTGGGTAAGAAGAGCAAATCTCAGCCATCGACAACCCAACCAACATGGTGAAAGACCCCGCAATGAACCACCCGTACACAATCGACACGGGCCCACCAAATCTCAGCCCATTGTTGTAAAGGGTCGTCACGCCCGTCAACACCGATATGATGGAAAACGAGAAAGCAAAGTTCGAAAGAACCCTGCTCCCCCCCCAAAAAAAAAAAAAACAAAACAAAAACCCAATTCAAAACCAGATTCGTACTACAAAATGAAGAGGGATTTTGAAAGGAAAAAAAGAGAGAATTTTACGAGAGATCACGCTTGAGCTCTTGTTTGTAGCCGAGCTCGTTGAGGCGAGCGTGGCCTGAATCCAATGAAGACCCATTTGCATGGTGGGTTGGGAGAGACGATTTTTCATCACCAGACACCATTTTTTTTTTTTTTAATTTCTCTGTTCTTTGGATGGAATGAAAAACAAGATGAAATTTCTATCTCTTTTCTTTTTCTCCCTCAAATCTTGGAAGAGAAACACTGCTCTTTTGAGGCTGTTTTAGTTTTACCAGTCAATTCAAGAAAGAGATTCTTTTCGTAGAGTTCTATAAAAAAGAATAATCCAAGGAGCGGTCGGTGATATGATTGACAATTGGGATTCCGTGGAGTGGGGCCCTCTTTAGTCAACGATCATTTCATTTTACTCTTTTTTTTTGGGGTAATAACTTTGAACTTTTAAGATTGTTACAAATTAGCCCCTAAAGTAATTTAATGAGCTAACATCTGCCTGAACTTCGAAATAGTGAGCAAGGTTGGTAATTCCGTCGTGCAAATGTTAAAAATCACGTTTTTAAGGTACGTGATTGACTAAATAAAGGACAATAACGTAAAATTAAATTGCCTAAACCTTTTTTCCTTTTTAGTACTGAAAATCAAGTCCCATACCAAGAGCTTCCATCTATGTTTGATAGCCTCCTTCCTGTCGAGGTGAAGATCCCCTCCTCGGTGTCTCAAGCAGCAGTGCCGCAAGAACATCTGCGCAAAACACTTCAGTGTCCCTTGCGAGTAGCGGCGGAGTCAGTCTTTTATTTTAGTGGGGATATATATTAATTTTTTTTTAACAAATTATCTTAATGGGGGCATATAAGAAAATATCTTTATTTTAGTGGGAACATATATTATTTCAGTGGGGGTTTAAGTGTAAAATTTTAAAATTTTTAAAAGTAATATTTTTTTCAAAAAAATTTTGAGTGGGGGCTCCGCTCCCTACTGAGTTGTACTTAAATCTGCCACTACTTGCGAGCGCTGCCCTCTCCCTACCCCACCCCAGTCAACGCGTAAACACCCCTTTCACCCCAACTCAGACAGTGACCCTCTCCGCCTTCGTGACATGAAGAGCCAGCCTCGCCCTCGCCCTCCAATCGACTTGCAGAGCGACTCCCATTTGCCCTTCGTCGAAGCGAACAACCGTGGCTCTCGTCCCACCCCCAGCGACCACCTTTGCACCCTCCCCTCCACCTTGCTTCCTCCACATAACAATGTTGGTAATGTGATGGAAATTGACATGTAAATTATAATAAATACACGAGTCATTAATTAATAGTATGAGTGATCATTTATGTTTGTTTCTTGTATTCGTCCTTAATTCTGAATTATGATTTATGGTTCTCTACAATGTTTTTCTCTCACAAAAAACACGCATAAAACGAGAATGATTTTGAATTCATGAACCAAACGTCCACTTATTGTTTGAGATAATTGTTGAATTTACTCCTTGTTCATTTCACAGATTCGAGTTTTCAGTTCTAAGTTTCTACAGTCTAAAGCTCTCAGAAAATGTCATATCTAACTTTTTCTGCTACAGTGTAAAGCTCTCAGAAAATATCACATCTCAACTCGAATTGAAAATTCGAATCTGCGAAATGAACGAGGCCTTAGAGTACATGGATCTTGATTTTTATCCACTACTCTTGATTAATGTGTATATATATTTTTATTAATATAGTTATTTAATTAACAAAATATTAGTACGTAAAAATGTAGACCCATGCACTCTAAAAGATATTTGTCTCTTTTCCCCTTTATATTTATTTTAACTCACTTATTCTGGTTAGAGTTTTTAATTATTCTTATCAAAATAAAAACTTTTTAATCCAACTTTGTTTTAAAAATATTTGGGTTATGATCCTTCAAACAAATATATATATATATGGGTTATGAAGATATGAATATGACCAATATTCATACACTTAATTATCATGTGTGCGTAAAAAATTTAACGTTGACGTTAATTGTCAAATAAAGATTTCGAAATAATACATTTTCAATGAGTGCAGAATTTAAGAAGAAATGATGAGAAAAAAATTATATTTAATTTTTCTTTTTCGAATGGGCTAATTTTAGGTCTGATATACATCTTTTATTTCTTTTACCTCTCTTTCTTTAATATATATTCTTTTAAATTTTGTTGACATTTCCTTTAAACTTTGGTCTAGATTTAATATGGTATAAATAATAGGCTTGTCTCCCTTGCTCTATCGCTAAAAATAGCCCAAAACTGCCCTTCAACTTTATTATAAGTGTAATTTTAATTATTTTGTCAATAAAAAATTAATTTTTTAACGGTTCTAATCATATATGAGTCACATGACTAGTTGATCAAATATAATATAAAAAGATAAGAGTGATACAGGGGTTATGAGCAAAGAAGAAGACGACACTCAAAATTACAGCGAGAAAGAATGTGCAATTTTTCTTAATTTTCTTTTAAATTTTAGAATTAATTTCGTTCAAATTTATTATATTTCTATTTAATATTAAGTAGTCACACGACTAACACTCGATTAAAATTGTTAAAAAATAACGTTTTAATGATGGAAGTGTTAAAATTAGTATTACAACTCATTACAAGTTCACAGGAGTTTTTTTTTGTCATTTTAAGTTGTACGGACAAAATGAGATGATTATCCCCCAACTGAGAAATTATAATAAATAACATATTTTTTAATTAAATTAATTAAATAGCATATTTTAAAATTATTTAAAATAAATAACAATTTACCATATAAATAATTCATTGACGACTGGTAAAAAAGAACTTATGTGGTAAAAAATATTAATAAATCTTTATTTAGTGGTAAAATATTTTTTTATCAATCATAAAATGATAATTACGCTGTTAACTGTTATTTACTATAAATAATTTTAAAATTTATTATTTAAAATATGTTATTTACTACATTCTCCTTTTATCATTTTTTTGGGCCAAATTTAGAATTAATTTGTCTAGATAAAAAAAGAGATGGTGGAAGAACAGGGATGCATCCTTGAAGCTCGTTAAAGAAGATCATTAATTATCTGATTGTTTTCTCATCTGGGCATGAAGATTTTTCGACAAACATTTTGGGTTTAGAAGAAGAGGTTAGTGATTTCTTTGAAATGGATATAGAAAAGAAGACCAATCTCTAACGGAATTATATACTAGAGTGCAAATTCAGTACAATGCTATAATCCTTACACAGACACTACACATGTATGCTACATAAGTACCAAGAATGCTTAGAAAAACAAAAGTAATTGTGACTCATTGATAAAAATAATTGAAAACCCTTTAATTAATTCATATAGGCATATTCTATACTCTAGCAATATCCATGAGGGAACTTTCAAATTACTATCATTTTCGTTGATTTTTGTGACCAAACCTTCCCTAGGTACTTTAATGTGTTTAATTATAAATAAATTTAGGAAAAGACCAAAATTTGGCTTTTATAATAGTTTCATTAAATAATTAACAATATTGGTAGTACTTAGAGTTTGAAATGGAAATAATTTAGGAATATGGCCAATTATTATCTTAGAGCAACTAATTTTGTTGCATAATTAGGGACTACATAGTGTGTTTTTATTGGGTTCCACAAGGACAGTTTTGGTAGACCTTTTATGGTATGGCCTAAAAACACAGATGCCTAACTGGCATGACAGCATGACGATTCCATGTTGTTGTGTTTTTATTTATTCCGAACCATTTCCATCAATAAACCCAATAATTTCAAAGGCCAATAGTAGTTTTGATGGGAGGAAAGAAAAAACTAATTCTTGTTCTTTGTATTTTCTGTTTTTTCAATTTCTGGAGATGTTGGATTTTCTATGATTGAATCTTTTTGAATTTGGTTGTTTTTGATTGCCGGTGTTGGATTTTTTCAGGCTATGTGTTTGAATGTTTGGCTATGTTAATTATTTGCAGCTTCAACTGTTTGATCTTTTGCCATTTTTTACCATTCTGTTTCGTTTTTACCATTCTATTGCAATACTTGCAAAAATGGAGGTTGACACTCTTGTGGTTTCATTTGTTTAGCTCTTTGTTCATTATTATTTGCTTAAAAAAGCCTTAACTTGCTTTAGTTATTTTTATTATCTACAAATATGCGTTGGGTTTATAATGGTGGTGGTACTTTCAGTCATCATTTGTTCAAATGGAGGGTAGTGTACCACAAGGTAAAGTAATATGGGATTCCGAGGCTGTAGATCTTTTTTGTGATTTGTGTATCAAAGAGGTTGAAGGTGGACACCGACCTGGAACACATCTTGATAAAGTTGGATGAAAAAATGTAATTTGGAAATTTAATGAAGCAACCAAACGAGTATATAAAAGACAACAATTGAATAATAAGTGGGATGCTTTGAAGAATGATTGGAAGCTTTGGAAGGAACTTGTTGGGAAGGAAACTGGTTTAGGTTGGAACAATAAAAAGAATACTATTGATGCATATGAGGAATGGTGGCATAATAAATTGCAGGTATACGAATGAAGTTCTACATTTTTTATAGTGTAGTGTTGGTGTGTGGCAGGTTTAATTTATTGAAGTGTTTTTACAGATTCATCCTAACGCATCGAAGTTTCGCACTCGGGGAATTGAACCAAAGTTCGAGGAAAAGTTAAATAGGATGTTTACTAATACTGTGGCCACAGGAGTGTGTTCTTGGACACTCGCATCTGGACAGATTCCATTTGAGCCTGATAAAACAACAAATGAAATGACATCTCCACTTGAACAACTTGAGAGTAGTGGATCGTCAGATGCACCTATCGGAAGAGAAATGCCACAGGACCTTAAGAAGAAGCGTACAATTAAGTCAGATGAAGGACAAAAAAAATTCAAAAAAGGGAAAGGCAAGGATAAAGTTGGTGGTGCTGCCAAATTGTTGCAACAAATTGATCGCCTTGTTACAGTAGTGGAGACTATTAGTACCAGATCACCCATTACACAAACTAAAGGACTAGATTGTAGCATTGCACGAGTTATTGAAGTCCTTGATTCTCTTCTTGGATTAGAGAGTGGGAGCGAGTTGTATTTTTTTGCTATCCACTTGTGCTCAGACATGATTAAAAGAGAGTCATTTATGGCTTTGAAACGACCTAAGTTGAAGCTCAACTGGCTTAAGTTTGAGCACGGGCTAGGATCATCCTCTTAAATTCCCTTGAGTGTCTCTTGAGTGTTCCTTTACTATGATTAATCTTTTAGTGTGGCTTTCATTAATTATGTTTTAGACATTATTGTTTTTTTCCATGAATTCGAATACATTGTACTGAATATTTTCCATTATTTCATTTGAATTATGTTTACATGCAAGTTTCTTCATTATATCCTGGGATGTCTAACAATATTGTCCAATTGAGTTTCCAACTTGTTTGTGTTATTACACGACTCATTGAACAATATTACAATAAGTATATTTAGAAAAATCCTTGTATGAACTCTGCTCAAACTGGAAATATGTGGGACATGAAATTAGAAGTTATAGAATGTTTAGAATGGATAAGGATGTATTTATGTCGCTATGTAATGATTTGCAATGTAACTACGGATTACATGGATCAAGAAATATGTCTGCGTTTGAAATAGTCGGAATGTTTTTATTCATTTTAGGTTAAGGTGTGAGAAATTGTTTAACACAAGAACGATTTCAACACTCTGGTGAAATAATTTTGAGTACGTTCTAAACATTGTCTGTCGTATGAGTATGGATGTTATAAAGTCTGATGATCCAGAGTTTAGTGGAGTGCCTCACGAGATATTAATGGATTGTAGATATATGCCACATTTTAAGGTATTCTCTTCATTAATTATATGCTTCCGTCCTTATTTAAAGTAATCATTTTAAACATAGAACTTTCTTCTTTTTAGAACTGTATTAGTGCAATAGATGGTGTACACGTTCCAGCTACAATATCACCAGAAGATCAAGTCCTATAAATTAGTAGAATGCGTGTGCCAACCCAAAATGTGATGGCTGCTTGTGATTTCAATATGAAATTTACATACGCATATGGAGGTTGGGAAGGTAGTGCTCATAATACAAGAATATTATTATTAGCACTACGTCATACAAATTTGAACTTCCCAACACCACAAGAAGGTTAAAACCTCTTCTATATTCGTGAGAACTCTGTTTTATAATTTACTAAGTCTTTGTGTATTTATTTCAATAGGTAAATACTATTTAGTTGACGCAGGTTATCCACAATTAAAAGGATTTATTGGACCTTATAGAGGAGAACAATACCATTTAGAATAATTTTGAATGGGTCGTCGACCAACTGGCTATAAAGAGGTATTTAACTAAGTACATTCTTCTCTTCAAAGTGTCATTGAACGCGCATTTGGTGTTTGGAAGAAAAAATAGAAAATTTTAAAAAACATGCCAAATTATTCATTTACAAAGTAAGTGAAAATAGTTATTGCTACAATGGCGCTCCATAACTACATTAGGAAGCATGATAAGCGTGATCTACATTTTCAAAGGGTCGAGAATAATCTAGATGATTTCGTTTATAAAGAGAATCAACCAGATGACAATAATGTAGAAGAGAATCAAGCTTTACTATCACTGAAAATGGATGAAGTACGAGATCAAATTATGGAAAGCTTAATGAATACGACTTAATTCTTTTCATTTGAGTTAAGTTTGTAGGTATATACATGTGTATTTGTAGGACTTAAGTTTGTATTTGTAGGTATATACGTGTTTGTAGGTATATACGTGGTGTGTGTGTTTGAAGGTTATATGTTTGTATTTATGTGTGTGTGTGTATGGATATATATGTTTGTATTTACGTGTGTGTGTGTATGGATATATATGTTTGTATTTACGTGTGTGTGTGTGGACATCAATGAGTGTATTTTGAAGAGATATTTTCATTTGCTCTTTTTTCTTGTGTATGGATATCAATGTGTGAATTTGCTCATTTACGTAAGTGTGTGTGTGTGTGTGTGTGTGTATGGATATCAATATGTTTGAAATGTTCTTTATTTGTGGTCATATAATTAATTATCATTTGGCTTAGCCCGTTTCTTGGCATGAAATTTCTCAACAAATTTGTCATATTTTCTTGTAAATTTTTTAGAAGAACCCCACCAAAATTGATAATTATGGTATTTTATTGCGTTATCAAGACTGCAACTGTCACTGCCAAGCTTTGCAAGAGAGAGAGCACAAAACAATTCCACAACTCAAAGACTGCAACTGTCCCTGACATATTGTCACTAATGCTTCTTTTAGTTGTAATTATATTGTGAATGAATAAATGAAAAAAAAAGAATTAATTATCATAAATTTATTGTTAAAAAATTCAAAATCATAGCATTATGTTTTTTTTAAAAGTTAAACAAGTATTTATAAATACCAAAAATAATTATATATATTTAAGTTTCATACCATGTCTATTTTGGTCATTTTACATACCCATAACAATTCAACCTCAAAATTTACCAAACGCTATTACACTGATTTTGGAACCAGCACAACTACTATAATTACAATTTACCAAACACTTAGCTGCTTCTTGTAACAGCTGCTTCTTCCTTCAGCACAACTAAAAGTAATTTTTTTAAAATCCACAGCACTACCAAACTAAGCCTATGTGTCCCATGTAGACTTCTAGGTGGTCGTTCGGATCACTCCTTCCATCGTATAACAGAATGAGAGGTGGCTTATACTTATCGGGCAGTGTGACTTGAATGATGTTTTCTGTGAATGAGTGGTCATGAGATATGTATATCTTGGCGTCAACGTTTACAACCTCGGCCACCTTTCCAACAACATGCTCAAAGTTGTTTAGTCGACTCCCTATCTGCTTTTTCAGTCTCGCCATCTTCTCGGCCAGAACCTTATTCTCAGCCACGAGCTCTTCCTCTTTGGTCCGTTGCATATCTCAATCGCGTTGAGCGTTCAGCTGCTCTCTTAGGTCCCCACCGCGTATGGACGAAGATTCTATCGGAACAGCGTTTCTCCGATTTCTACTTTCCTGTGGTTAAGGGGGCGCCTCTCTGTTATTCATTGTCTGGGCTGCAGCCCTCTCCTGGGCTCTTTTCCTGGCAGCCCATTGTCTGCTCCATACAAACCTATTTGACTTGGCTGGACGGGGGTTATTGTTGGCCCCGCTGTCACCGACCCCTTTAGCGTCACCGCGTTGGTCACCAATCACTTGGTTCCCGACGGCGACATTCACTGGGTTCATCGGCGTATCCTCCAGTGATGACATCGAATTTGGCCTTTGATCCTGTTCAACAAGGGCTGTAGCCATTCTTTCTACGGCCACAGTAAGTGTTTCGACTTGTTTTTGAAGCAGGTCAAGGCGCTCTGGGAGGTTTCCAACGGCCGGTGGGTTCGCCCTGCAGTTGGGCCATACTCCCGACTGTTCTTGGTTGTCGTTGGGTGGATTCGTTGGATTCCTCCCTTCAATGGTAAGGTTCTGGCCTTCCTGACTTTTCTGATTAGCTGTCATACTGCAAGTCTTTCTTGGAGGCATGTTCTTTGCTTTTGCTAGATTCGATTTCTGAGTTTAGGCCCTCCTTCTAGCGCCCATTGTTGACAGTGAAATTTAGTCAACTAAAAATTAACTCTCTCCGGGAACACTCGCAGACGTCTCTCACGGATTAATCAATAGTTATCGTTGCAGAAGAATAAAGAACACATAAGTTTATAATGATTCGACAATAATTCTTTGTCTACGTCTACTTGTGGATGTACTAATATATTCAAGATTACAATCTTTCTGAATAGTAGAATAGTGCGTAAAAAACTTAATGGAGGAGGCAGACTCTATTTATAGGCCCTTTACAGATTAGAGATCTCCTCTCCATTTCCCGAGGAGATCATCCCCTTACCCCTAAATCTAGAGATCTGACAATTGTACTCCCACGATTTTCACTACCAAATCGGGGCAATTACCTTTATCGGTTATCTGACTTCCTGATCCGAATTGTGGCAGTTGCTGCAATATATCTTCTCCTCAGATGACGGGATTTAATTTAAATTTGACCGGACTACTCTCTCGACGTCGTGAACTTCACGACTTATGCGGAGTTCTCGACGCATATCCTCCTCCTGCATGAAATCTCGTCGTCTTGAGGGCATCCTACGTACGACCATTTTCTCGACGTCAGCGACCAACTCTCGACTGAGAATGTCTCGGCGCTTGGCAGTCAAAGGAGCGGTCAATTACCCGACCGTGGCACAACAACATAACTTATAATGCTATTTAGAAACCCTAATTTCTAAGAGGCACTCTCTCTTCCTAGCACCTATTTCCCCCTCCCCCCAAGCCACGCTCTCTTTTTCCTCTCCCCTCACGGCTACTCTCTTCTTCTCTCAGCGTCGTTGCTCTCTCTTCCCTCGCTCTCACTCTCTCTTCGCTGCAGTTCTCTCTCTGGCTGTCAACCTCTCTTGCCGTTAATTTCTCTATTCCCATCAAAAATCCCAGTCATAGGCTCATGAAGAGAAGACGTATGGCGATGTCGTGCAGAATTGGTTCTCTTCGATCTAGTCGCGTCGATTCACGAAGTTCGAGATCCCCGAACAACCACCAAGGAGATTGTGGAGATCATCCGCAGATCTTCACGTCGAAAATTATGAAAGAGATCTGTTCTCCACCGTTAGCGTCAAACGATTGCGCAACAAAGATCTCCACACATAGAAGAGATGGCTTGGTCGCTTTACTTCGTGCAACGATGTTAGATATTGTTAGCAGGCACGGATCCACATAGGGCTTATTAGGGGCACGTGCCCCTGTAGAGAAAAAATATGTTCAAAAAATGTTTCACTGTTCTATTTAATGTTTCAATTCGTTACTTAGAGTGAGAAGTGCTCCCACTCGTCCGGTTTAATTCTCTCGTCCCACATTTTGAAAGTTCTTGAGTTGATTCCTTAAAAAAATAAAAAATAAAAAAATCTTGAGTTGATTATATCATCCACTTTAACATTTACCAATCAATTCTCTTTTAAAAATCAGTTGTGAGTATGTCACTTCTTTCCAAAATTTTAAAATTTTTGCTGATTCTTTATTTCTTTTATATATATAAAATATCATATCCATTCTCATATCCCAAACTACAACTCCCTTTTCTAAAATTAGGAAAAAAAAAATTCTCCTTTTAAATTTATATTACTTTTTAGAGAAAATGTCAATCCAATTACACTCACCCTCTGATTACTTCATTTTAATACACCAACCTATATATCCTCTCATCTCCTTTGCTCTCTTTCTTTTTCGATTACTTTTACTTCTCTATTAAAATTTACCATTTATTATTTCATAGAAGAATAATTATTCCTGAAGACATTAACGTTAACAACGACAATCACCTATTAAACTATGCAAATTTATATTTATTAATTAAATTTTGTAAAATTATATGATCTTTTTATCGTAGGAGATTAATTATCATATTTGCATTTGTATTATTTTTTATCAATTCATGATATTATGTTGGAATATGTGCAACGACTTATTATGGCAGTATTAAGTTCTATTTTCCAATTGTATATTGAATAATTATGGAAAAGTATTTTTAATAGAAAATTGCAGTCACCAATTTTTGATATAAGTGTTTCCCTTTTTCAGATTCTACTGTATGATTTTGCCCTTTATTTGTATCCTGATTGAAATCAAATTCTGGATCCGTCAAATTTGTTTATAAATTCGAGTTATTCAGCAATTACAATGGGTAGAAAGGTCAACAAAGACATGCTAAATTAATGCATTTGAGAGTTGATTCAGGAAGGAACATTGTAATTAACCAATACAATTTCAATAAGTATTAAAAAAAGGAAGGAATAATGGCCTCCTTTGTTTCGCGGATTTGAGTTTTCAATTTGAGTTGAGATGTGATATTTTTTTAAAATTTTTAATTATATTAAAAAAAATTAAATATGATATTTTTTAAAAATTTTTAACTGTAAAAATTTAAAATTGAAAACTCGACGAGACTATTCAACAATTATAATGGGTGGAAAGGTCAACAAAGACATGCTAAATTAATGCATTTGAGAGTTGATTCAGGAAGGAACATTGCAATTAACCAAGACAATTTCAATAAGTATTAAAAAAAGGAAGGAATTAATTGTCAACAAAGACTAATAACTACATTATACATTTTGAGTTTGCAACGAAGGAAAGCAAAACGACTATATCAGAGAATTTATATTAGGGACGATAAGGGCTAAAAAATCTAATACAACCCGCCCTAACATAAATTGATACTAACACGATCCGCACGAACCCGTTACTTCTGTAATATATGACTAATAATCAACCCACAACATACTTCCAACTCAAAATCAACCGTAACCCATCAATGACCTATGATTGTTTTACTCTAAATCTAATATTTAAATGGGGTGTCAATATAATTTCCCTAAATAAATTACTTTTATGAAAATATTAACATTTTAGTTTTGCAATAGATTTGAAATTTATTAAAATTTTATAATAACTCAAAGATATGTCATATTGATGAATTATTTAGGGCCTGTTCGTTTGCCCTAACTTACTCAAGAATGCCCACTTGAGTAAGGAAACTGGCCCAAGTTCACGTTCGGTGTTTGAGAACTTGAATTCAAACTCAGAAATGAATTCGAGTTACAACCCATTTCTGAGTTGCACTCTCCCCTGCGATTTGAGTTATTTCTCTGCACTTCTACAGTGCAGATTTTGAGATCTACTTGCCGTTTCCCGTGGTTCTCCTGTAACCGATATTCTCCGGAATTCTTCTCGCTTATCGTTCGACCAACAGCCACGATCTGCTCCTTCAACGTTATTCCATCGATTTCTGAGAGTTGTGCGTTGTTGAATCACTTTTCCCCCAATCTCATATTTCAACCCTAGCCCACCATTTCGGTTCCCATATGCATTTTTTGTGTCCCCCTTCCCCCACCATTGTCATCGTTCTTGTTTCTCCTTCAAAACGGGGAAATTTGTGGGGACTCTGTTGGTTCGGCGACCTCGGTGGGTGAACATCGTACTTCGATGTAGAGGCAACAGTGTGCGCCGTCGATCTCTCCAGCCGAGACGTCAAACCTACTTCCCCTACCTCTGTCGTCGCCGGTACCTCAGACTTGTTAAGTCACCATTTCAGCGTCCCACTTGGTTGGGATAAAGTTAAACAAAAAACTACTAGGTTGAAAAAAACATTCGAAGCAGAGTTCCTACTTCGGACTGCTACTGGCCTTGGTTGGGGTCCAATTGAGAAGCAACCAACGTGCACCGATCAATATTGGCAACAATTTGTCACTGTAAGTTCATTATTTATTTTCTTTAATTGTTTTACATCTTGCTGTCTTACTTTGTCATTGAGGAAAAGGGATTTTTCATATTGTTTGCATTGTCATTATTATTGTATATGCAAAGCCATCCGGAGGTCGAACGGGCTAGAAGGAAGCCGTTACCGGATTATGATTTGTATTTATGTGCATTTGTGAATTCACGTGCAACCGGTGTAAATGAGTACGGCCAAGATGAAACCCCTATAACTCCCCCACATCCCCCAGCGCCAATCCCAGGCAGCCCAATTGACATTGATGGCGGGTCCCAACGCTACAATGATACGGGCGATACTTCATATACAAAAATGAGGCATGGTGTAAGCGCTGGTGGCCGAACCCCACATGTTGCGTCACAATCCCGGCCAAATAATAAACGGTCAGCAAGAAACAGTCAGACACGCGTGTCAAACTTCATGGAGCGTGCAGTGGATCGCCTTGTATCATTTATTGAGGACCACGGTCGAAAGCGTGGTAAAAGTTCCGCCACCCCTCAATCGGTTGAGAAAAAGACATCCCAGGACAAATGCATTGATTTACTTGGAGAGTTGGACATACCTCAGGATCAATATCTTTTCATGTTCAACTATTTGAATGCTCATGCTACACTGCATCGGCCGTTTTTGTGAATGAAGGAGCATCACCGCTTGGCTTGGATCCAACAGACCATGGAGCAACATGCAAATCAGCAAGTGCCGCCTCCACCGCCAACCTTGACGCTTGGATCACAGTACCCCTTTTAGTATAGCTATCCAATGAACCAACATTTCTCACACACCTTCCATCCAAACACCAACACCTTCCAACCGAGCACTAGTAATTTTCAACCATACATGCCACCAAACTTTCCACCATATCCCGGCCAAGATGGAAGAGATACCGGTTGACATCCATATTGGTGGCCTTCATGTGATCTTCGTTCTTGTTATTTTTTTTTTATTTCATTCATTGCACTCTATGATTCTGAGACATTATTGCTACTTGAGTTAGTTTTACATGCATATTAACATTTAATCCAATTTTGGGTTATTTGAGGACCACGGGTATTTAGTATGTTTTTAAACATTGTTGGCCTTGTTGTACTTTATTTGCGAACCACAGACATTTATTGTTATTGTTTAATGAGTATTTATTATTGATGACATCTAGTAGATGACTAATATTACTTGAACAGGTGATGATCAAATGCTTTATTTTTGCATACTTCTTAAACCCTTAAACTTTCGTGTTATTGGTTAGAAACTTTGACAAGTACAGCTCACCATAGGGCCGGCAGCCCAATGAACTCTGATGCGTCAGACGACGATAGTGATGATCACTATTTCAGGCATGTTGTCGCGGCTGCCACTTTGTTATGCGTCAGATTTGTGTATAGAGAACCATCACGCCGAAGGCACACTTCTAGTTGGGGAGGTAGGATTAGAGTGGACTACTATCTTAATAGGAGTCCATAAGTGATTTATGATAAAGTTCGCATGAGTAGTGAGGCTTTTAGACGCCTATCATCTATCCTTGAGGAAAGAGGATTACTGCAACCGACAGTCAACCTTAATGTTGACGAGCAATTATTTATATTCCTTACAATACTGTGTCAAAACCAAACTAATAGGGAAGCGCAGGACCATTGGCAGCGCTCGGGCTCCACGGTATCGGAGTATTTCACAAAAGTACTTAAAGCGGTTTGCCAATTAAAAGTAGACTTCATACGGCATCCAGATTTTACTGCCATCGATCCTCACATAATTGCAGGTGAGAACAAGTATTCGCCGTGGTTCGATGTAAGTTACGAATTTATACATAAATTTTTTTCTCTACTTCATAATTTTAGTTATTTTTTATCTCACAATGAGTTTAACTATATCATTGCATAACAACGTATGTAAGTTTGTTAATTTGAAGGATTGTGTTGGAGCACTAGATGGTATGCACGTTTCATGTGTGCCTCCCCGTGAAACGGCTGAACTTTACAGGAATAGGAAGGGATATTTCTCGCTTAATGTGCTTGCAGTTTGCTCATTTGATATGAGATTTACGTACATGCTATCTGGATGGGAGGGTTCAGCACATGATGCGAGAGTACTTGCGTCCGCGTTAGATCACCCACGGAAGCGATTTTCGATTCCGCCACCAGGTAAGTGGGAAAAACGCCTATATGTACATCTACACGTAATTCAGAAACTGCATCTAGATTATAAGTGTTGATTGTGATTACTTAAATACATGTAGGAAAATTCTACCTCGTCGACTCAGGCTACGCAAACAACGGATGTTTCATGGCACCATATCGGGGAACAACATATCATTTGCAAGAGTATAGGAATCGACGGGGTAGAGGCTTCCGCAGTGAACGTGAATTGTTCAACTACACGCACTCCTCCCTGCGTAATGTAATCGAAAGAACATTTGGTGTGTGGAAGGCCAAATTTCGTATTTTGAAAACCATTAACCGTTACCCCATTGAAAAGCAAGTTAAGGTTCCGGTTGCATGTGCTATAATTCATAATTTTATCCATATGTACCGTAATGGAGATACACTATTAGATCAGTACTCACAGGATGGCGTTCCGGTTGCTGACATTGATCCACAGAATGTTGAAGAGGATATCAATGACAATAATAACCACGAAGGACAACCATTAAATAATGAACCGGAACTGGAGATGAATGCGTTAAGGGATGCAAGAACGCATACAATGTGGGCAGTGTACCGTAATCGTCGTACGGGCTAATAATAATGTATGGAGAATTGCGATATTAATTATGTATATATTTGTGACTATTTGTGAGACCATTTATAATGGACTATTTCATTATTTCATTATATTTGTGACTACCCTCGTTTTATTAAATTCGTGTCATTTTCGAATCGTGTCGTGATCCATATTACCGGCTCTAAGTGAAAGCTAGCTGTATGTCCTCATTTTTTTTCATCCTTTTTTGTTGAAAGAAACGTTTGGAAAAGAGTGACAGACGTTGTCCCATTTTTTTTTTCTTTTTTGGTTGACGGAAACGTTCGGAAAGAGGGATGGATGTTAGCTTCCTATATGTTGATAAGAATGTTAATAATATTTTTTTTAATCAAATAACTATAAAAATTACAACAATAAAAGCCGGTTTTAATGGGGTTCTATCAATGAATGGCCCAAGTTTTTCAAAATTAAAAAAATGGCCGGTCAAAAAAAGAGAGGTTATCGAAAAGACTATTTTCCCCCCAAAACCCTAGCTTATCTTCTTAGAATATCAGCGGACATGGCCGACACACACCAAGAAGTCCAGTTGGTTTCTCTCTCTCCCTTTCTCTTTGCGTTTCTGGAGATCAGTCGCTGCAGATCTGGTTTCTCCATGACCAGTTCCCATTTTTGTCGCAGCAACGTGAGATCTCATCGAATCTCTTTGTCACATATCTTTTAGCCATTATCTCTTGTAGTTTGCCATTTTTCTGACGAGTTCTCAGCAACTTCAAGCATCATGTCTGGTCAATCAGTGATTAACTCTGGTCAATCATTGATTAACTCCGGTCAATCAATGATTGACTCAAGTCAATCAGTGGTTTTTTCGTTTCAGTCTGTCAATAGATGGAGTGCTGCAGAGAGAATCGTTGAAAATATCAACTGACACCGTCAACTTAAACGTGACATAGACAGAGATCTCAACGACGGAGGCACATACGTCGTCTTTCTCCTTCTGTTCGATGCCAATCTCCTCCTTTTGCTACAACGATGGAAAGCCAGATGAGAGAGGGGAGAGATGAGAGGGAGAAAGAGCTAAGTCGGAGAATAGAGCAAGAGATAAGCCAGAAATAGAGTAGAGTTCAGCGAGAGAGATGAGGGTAAAATTGAAAGTCCAAATTTTATTTTTTATACCCCCAGCCATTTCCCTAATTTACAAAAAAAAAAAAAAAGGCTACTTGTTATCTGTGGCCACCGCCCCAATTTCTCATAACTATATGTCCCGTTCATTTCGTTGATTCGAATTTAGATGTGATTTTATGTGAGAGTTTTTTACTGTAGCAAAAAAGTTAAATGTGATTGTTTGTAAGAACTTTTTATTGTAGAAAAACTCGAATTCTAAACTCGAATCAGCGAAGTGAACGAGACCTTAATAAAAAATGTATTAATTAATAGAAATGAATAAAAATTCATGTACTATAATGCTATGCAATGGTGGAGGGAGCATATACCCCGGGAAGGCATCCCTTCCCCCCATATTTTTTAAATTTTGTTTTTTTACATATGATTTTTTAAAATTTGTAATATATGCCCCCTAAATTTTTGAATATTTGTTTTATTGTATCTAGCTTTTCAAAAATTTTCTTATATGCCCCATAGATTTTTGAAAATTTGTCTTATTGCATGTAATTTTTCAAGAATTGTTTATACATGCCTCCTCATTAATAAGATCTTATACATACCTCTTAATTAACAAATTTTTTATCTAATTTATTCCTATTAATTTTCTTTAAAATATGTCTTTACTAATTTTTTTTTTCTTTTTAATTTATTTGTCCATATTGAAGTAATTTTTTCTTTTTCAAATGTATCCCTACTTAAATATTTTTGTTCATACGTTTTTATAGTTTTTGAACACAATATCTTTAGAAATGTGACATATTATGTACTTTTTTTCGAAATTGTCTGACTGAAATAATTTTTAATATGTCTCTACTTAAACATCTTTTTTCCTACATCTTTTTCAAATATTATTTTTCTCTCACGTACCTACTAAATAATTTATTTTCAAAATTTTCAAATCAATATAATTTTCATTAAGTGTTCTCCTTTATTTTTTCACTAAACTATATGCATAAGAGAATAGTAAATCAGGTTAAAATTGAACTTTTATGAAAATTCTACTATCACATAGGAAAAGATTCAACAAATTGAATATTTATGCCCTTCTAACTGTGTAATATTATTAAGAGTTGGTACTGTGAAGGTTTCAAAGGCTTTTTATGTTTTTAGCTTATGTCCTCCTCAATTGAAATCCTAGCTTCGCCACTGATACTATGTTTGGTAGGAGGTAAGGAAAATGAGATGGGGAGAAAAGATATAAGGGATTGAAAATGAAAGTGATGGAAAAGAAAATGCTTTTTGTTTTAATTGTTTGGTATGATAGGAGGGAACGAAAATGAGCTATTATGTAATTACTATTTGACCAATCTTTTTATAAATATGTAGCTTAAAAATAAAGTTAAATAAGTAATTATTTCTTATTTTATGCGTTGTAAGTTTTCCCTCCTAAAATCTCTCTATTTGGTGGGACCCACATGTATTACTTTTCACTCTATTTTCTCTTCCTTTCTCTTTTTCCTCTTCCTTTCTCTTTTTTCTCTTACCAAACAATATAATGGCTCGTTTTGTTCGCTGATTCGAGTTTTTAATTCAAGTTGAGATGTGATTTTATGTGAGAGTTTTTTTACTGTAGTAAAAAAGTTAGATGTGACGGTTTCTGAGAGCTTTTTACTGTAGTAAAACTCGAATTCTAAACTCAAATCGGTGAAATGAACGGAGCCTAAATTTTTATTTTCTCTCTTAAAATCTTTCCACCTTCTTCCTAGTTCCTTCTTTTCACTTTTCTTTCCTATCAAACATAGTATAAAGGTAAGTTCAATAATTTACCTAGAAGGTTTTACTGTAGGGCCTTATCCCTTAACCTAAAAATGCATCACCTCAGCTCTACAAAACGTGTTTCACATTTAAGAACAGCAAAGAATACCACCTAATAGTTCCTGTTCGTTTGACCCTAAAAACTCGAGTAAGGCCCACTCAAGTTTCACTTTCAGCCCAAAACTGTGTTCGGCCGTGTTGTAACTTGAGCATTAATTCGAGTCAACTACCAAGACTCAAGTTCACCCTCCCCTCTTCAATTCGAGTGAAACTCGAATTAATATCCATAGTGTTTAGCTCTCGCGTGCAGCAGCGCCCTGCTTATAGCCGTTGGTTGTCCTCTTCCTTCACTGAACCAAGATTCGAGCCTTCCCATTCCTTCTCTGTCATTTCACGTGATTCTCACTTACATCTATAAAAGTTTCTTCTCCGAATCGTTGATTCCTACCTCGTCTCCTCCTTTGGACCATCGTGTAAGAGCCTCGTCTCCTGTTTGAAGTCCCGTCTCTTCCTTCAAGCTTTTAGGCGTTCCCATTTCTTCTCTACCATTTCACGAGTTTCGTTACAAAAGTTGTTTCCCCCAAATCTGAAACCCTAGCCCCAAAATCATCATCTCCTCCTTCAAGCTTTATCTGTTCCCATACCGAGAAGTAGCAAAAGTTTCCCCCAAATATGAGATTGTGAACCCTATCCCCAAAATCAACACTAATTTTGCATGTTTTCAGTCCCTGGCCAAAATGGGGAAATTCAGTCTGAACCGTTCTATTCGGTGACCTCCTTGGGCATCCCTCCTAGGTCGATGTAGGAGGACAAGCTCTCGACCTAGTTCTCTTCAGCGGCAACGGCAAAGCTCCCTGATTAACGCCCAAAAGTGATGTTCACAAGCGGTCAATTGTAGCACAGAAGGGCGGTCGTATCCACAGAGAGATAACAAAATAACAAGAAAGATTAACAAAATAAGAGCGTTAGAGAAAAATAAATAACAAGTGAATTAAAAAAAAAGAAGAGTTTTTGAGATTTTTGTTGCAAATAAAAAGGAAATAAGATTTGTGTGAAAGAAATTCAGTAATAAAAATGGTAAGGGTTGAGAATCCCTAATGTTTCATTCACCAATTCAAGTTTTGATTCACAAAATAAAAGGATCGAATAAATTAAATCTCCATGTTGACTGAAAATATTATTATTACAAGTTATCCAAAATCGACAATATATCAATTTGATAATATTGCAGTAAAAGACAATTTACAAAATAATTTGAATAACAGAATAGTGCATGAAAGAATTATATAAGAAAAGCGTGACTACACTTATATAAAAATTGGCACACAATATTTTGAAAAGTAAAATAAAAATAGATGAGATTTAATTCATTCGGATGTTGAACTTTACAGCACAAGGAATCAAAAGCCCGAAAAGTTCATCTCTAACCTCACCAAGAGAACTCTAGCCTAGCTTGCAAAACATTCTCACAAGTTCTAGAGAGAAAATATGAGACTAACAGCAAGACAACAGAAAACTGAATAATAAAAGCTTCCTAAAACCTTAGGCAAACCCTTTTATTTATAGTATTTAGAGGTTGCCTGTCAAATAAGGAAACAAACAACAAAAATAGAAAATTACAAAGGAAAAAGGAAATAAAATAAAATTACACATAAATTAGGAGAAATCATATATTTAATTTAGGGAAGAAATCTGCCCATTTGCTCTGATTTGAAAGAGAAATTCGGACTCAGCACCTAGAAGACACGTTTCGCAATGCAATTGGAAAGAAGGAATTAACTCGCCACGTGTCGCACTCAGAGTGGTTGGCGTGTGTTGGCACTGGTCAAAGAGGAGGAATACTTGCTGACATTGGGGTCCCGCTGAGACAAGTGGTGCATGCAGATTGGGCGGATGACTAGCAGAAAGTTGTCACCGGGACAACTGGCGTGCGCGGAGAGAAACTGGGGCTGGCACGCTGTCACACGGGACCCATGGGGGAGAAGATTGGATGCGCGGTGATGGTTGCGTGCAAGGAAACGCGCGCTCTGAGGTAACTCGTGCCAGTGACGCGCGAGGCACGAGACGGAGAGAGAGGAAAGGGGCACGGATTTTCGCGCTGACAAGCGGGACCCACTTCATTT